AGAGATGGCAATGGGCAGCTGGTTGTCTAATTAATAGCCAAAGAAAAAAATAGGAAGGCACTTCTTACTTGGCTACTTGTCGGCAGTAGGGAAAAAAGAAGGAATTCAGCCGCAGAAACAATACACATCCCAGCTCTAGTTCGCAGGAGGCAAAAGGATGGAGCTGGAAAGAATTCATCCGACATCACTCAGCCGCAAGTAGCTCCGGGCAGAAAAAAATCCAAGCTGCTAGGAAGAAGAACCGAGCTCAAAATACTCTGGTTAATCTTTTGTTATCTTTCAATTTTAATCCTAATTTCATGCTTAGATTCAAACTTCAATAAGCTTTCAGTTTTAATGACTGTATTATTTCATACTCTGAATTTCTGTTTACTTGGATAATTGAGTTGTTAATGATGTTTATTTACTGTTTAATTTCATCTACAAATTACTCTAGCTGTGTTATTAATAGTGTTAGTTTCATGATAATTATGTTAGGCTAAATTTCCATGGGGTTTAGATTTGGATAGAATTTAGGTTAATGGGTGTTCTTGAATATTGAATTGAATTTGAGAAAAGTCTCCCATTTTTAGGACTAGTTGTTTGAGATGAAATTGAAAGAGTAATTTGTGAAATTGATCACTTCACTTGTTAATTTTTAGAAGATTAATTCTTTCTTGTCTATGAGTTTAGAATTTAATTTAGCTCATATCTCACACACTTTAAACTAAGCCTAGAAATAGGACATGTTAGGGGAATTAAAATCAAGTTCTTGTCTATGAGAATTAATATATCACTATTCTTAAATTGGAGAAAATTTCCCATATTTGTTCATAATTCAAATACACCCAAGATCCTTAATCCCAAATCTAGACCCCACTTTTAATTAGTTAATTTTTCATTACTAGTCACATTGAATTTACCTTTTAAGTGTTTTATTTTCGAAACTTTACTCATCCACATGTTTGCTAGTTTAATATTTTTTATTAGTTAATATTCTCTCTCAAGTTATTTTGCATGTTCACTAGTTTTAGTTTACTCATTAATGTCATTTAATTAAATTCCCCGCTACTACTTTTGTTGTTTAATTTTATTTACTTAATCATTATCACAATTATCATTTCTATATATATTCATCTTTTTTATATTATCTTTTCATAATAGCTTATCTTTTTATCTTTATTCCTTCTTTTCCTTTTGGTTGTGATATCATGTATCGATTCATGTTAGCCGACCCCAATATCTTTTGGGACTAAGGCTTGGATGTTGTTGTTGTTGTAATCATTATCACAATTAATCGTTTGAGAAAGCTTGCAACGATTCGTACTAACCGGTGACCGATATTGAAACCAACACTTCCCTCCGCCACTCCTCAGAGACACGATACTCGGGGAAAAACCGAAAGGTTAGACTCCGTTTTACTACAACGCCGCGAAAGCGGGTTATCAAATGGCGCTGTTGCCGGGGAGTGGCACGGTTGTAAGTTGGTTTTTATTATTGGCATAGGCGAACCCGAGTTAGTGAGACTTTCTCCTTTATTTTCTGTTTTTTTTGTGTTGTTTTCTCAAGTTTGCAGGATTAGTTTGTAAATTCTCTCTCTTTCAAGCATCGCAAGTTGCTATCATTTCCTCTCTAACCTAAAAGAACATTGAGATGGCCTGAACAAAAATTCATCATGATGAGGGAGAGGCTAACCGTGCTTGAAGCCTTAACCTTGGACCTTTTTGAGGAAGATAGCACCAGCATTCCGCCAATCGATGTCACTGATTTTGAGATTAATCCTGATATCATTCAAGTGATATCGATTAATCAATTTGGCGGTTTGAAACATGAAGATCCCATGGTGCATATGTTGTGGTTTAATAGAACGTGTCAAACATTCAGGATCAGTGGAGTCCCAATTGACACCGTGAAGCTTATCTTATTCCCATTCTCTCTCCGGGATAAGGCTATTCGGTGGTTAAACTCTTTTCCACCTAGTCATTTCACCACCTGGAATGCTCTTCATCAGGCGTTCATTCATGAGTATTTTCCTCCATCGGCGGTTGCACACATCAAAACTTTAATTCAAAATTTCAGGCAAGCTCCGATGGAAACAATAAGTGAGGCTTGGGATCGATACAAAGGCCTACACAGAAAGTGTGCTGCACAGTTGATGGATGCTTATGACTTGATGTTCTATTTCTACTATGGACTTCAATTTGTAAGTAAAAAAGAATTGGACCATTATTCAAAAATTGGTTCTTTTCTCGACATGACACCGGAAGAGAGTGAAACATTCATGGAGAATGTGGTATCAAATGCTAAGAATTGGTACTATGAGACAGAATCTTCTTCCGAGACGACACTTCAAGACATCGATCTAATTTCTGCCCTCACAACAATAATTGACAACCTCGCAAGTCAAGTGAAGAATCTCAAATCACAATCATGTCAGGTCAATAAGCTGAGTCATTTCGGGGCAGATTGGGAAAATTCGGTGAATGCTAGCCCAGAAGCACCCACATTCGATAAAGAATCCACAGACGAGAGATGGATGTCCACTGAAAAACAAGGCTCATCGGAAAAACAAAATGAGACATTTACTGAAGATTATGAAAGTGAAAGTGGAGAGATCTTTGAGCCAATTTCAGAGAATGTGGAAGTGGGAGACATTTTGTGTGAAAGTAGAGTTGAAAAGGGTGATATTTTGACATCATGTCTTGTTGAATTTGATGAGGCATCTCACTGTGAGGAGGAATTTGCAATAATCACGGTTGCATCATGTGAAGAATTTAAAAAGAAAACTCCCGAGAAAATCAATGAAATTGAGGAGCTCCTTGATCTACTATTGGAGACTTTGGATGTGGAAGTTGATGAAGAAGATGCCAGGATTGGGGAAGAAACAAGCATGGAGGAGTCCATTGACTTTCTTCTTAATATACTTGATACTAGTACATGACACAAAACTGTTGAGCTTCATGATGATCTGGATAATAAGGATGACTTTCCTTATTTTATTTTGCCATCTAGCAATGAGGAAGATGCACCGGTCTTTGTTCATGCTTGTGAGTTTTTGATGAAACAAAGGTGGTACACAAGAAGAGTCGTGATGGTCAAGCTGTATGATCCCAGAGTTGGAAGGTCAAGGAAAAAGTGGATAAAAACGTCAAGTTAGTGACGTTAAAGAAGCGCTTTTGGGAGGCAACCTAGGTGTTAAAAAGAAAAAAAACTCAAAAAATTATGAAAAAATGCAAAAAGAAAAAAAAAAAAACTAAAACTGAAAAACTGCACAAAAAGAAAAACAAAACAAAAATTATTTCTTTTTTTTTTTATTTTGTTTGTGTGTTAGTTTTAACTTTTAATTCATATTTTTTTCCTTAGCTTTTTCAGGTTAAATACAGGAGTTCCCCGATTGGACTAAATTTTCATTGTGCTTGCTCTTTCAAATCTTCTTCAATGTTGAGCACAAGGGGAGTACTTCTTACTTTTTATATCAATTTTCGCCCTCCATGTGTGTTTATTTGTGAGTCATCTTAAGTGTGAGGAGGGTGTTTTTGAAAAAAACTGTAGATTTGCCCTGTTTCATTTTGATTTTATTTTGAGACCTCGAGGACAAGGTCTATTCTCCATGTGTGAGGAGGGTTATGAACAGGGCAATGGACTGATCTAGTGTGCATGACAAGAGGCTCAGGTGAACTAAGTTAAGATCAGTAATAAGCTAAGGTGTAATCTACTTTAACTATTTTTTTTGAAAGTTTTGTTATAACTAATCTTTTTATTTCCATTATACTTTTAAAAAAATCTTTAAATATTAGTATATATGCTTGATTTCTACTTTGAAGTTGTGTGCACAAGTTTGGATTTTTGGTTTGAATGGTTGTTCGGTCTTACTTTCTTTTCATGGATATATACAATGCTCCTTGGTTAGCTTAAAATTTAAATTCTTTGGATTAGAAAGAATTCTATCCTCGAATGAGGCTCTGCTTTTAGCATTTGATAGAATATCTTTCTCTATTGTGGTTGTACTTGATTATTGATTTGAGAAGTGTCTTCGTTGGGAGTCTCATCTCCGAGAAGGGGCGTTGCTCTTCTCATTATCGTATTCTGCGAGAGTTGAGTATATTTTATATATTTTATGAGATAGCCCCACAAATCGATGATTTAGTTTACCATAAAAGTCATGCCAACTTGGCTTGGTTTATAGCTCCCCCAAGATCATCCCAAAAAAAAGAACAAAAAAATGATAGGAGAGCTAAAACTATTTTTAGAACGGGAGCTTGTGTGTATTTCATGACTAGTCAAGGATGATGAGGGTTTTTGAATGTGAATGTTGACTTGTGCACATAACTAATTAGTAGCGGTTTTTGCATAAATGCTAGTATTAAAGGATTTTTTTTTATTAGTATGTTGTGTGATAAAAGTTGAGTTATTAGTGTGCTTTCATGAAAATATAGTTAGGTAGATTGGAATCTTAGTCTATTGATGATTGATTCTGCGTAATCTTGAGCCCTTGAGTTGTGTGCACTATAAACATTTTGCCTTGAAAATATGTTTGAGAGTAGTTTTGTTGCTTGAAGGCAAGCAACGCTTAAGTGTGAGGAAATTGATAAGTCTGATTTGTTCATATATTTTCACTCACTTTTTATAGCGTTTCTTGTCAAACTCGGGGCAAAATTTTACATTTTTCTGGATTTTTGTTGCATTTTTGTTAATGTTTGAAATTAGTGTTGAAATTTACATTTTTTAGTGATTTGTGTTTAATTCTAGTGTTTGGATTGATTTTTGTGTTTTTTCACTAATTTGTACTTTTTTTATTTTGTGATTTGTTATATTTGAATTTGATTTCTTTTAGTGCAATAAATAAATGAATTAATGAAAAACAAACAAAAAAAATTATAAAACCCCAAAAAAATGCAGCAAGGCTGCGTTACAAAAAAAACCCAAGCAAATAAAAGAAAAACAAACAAAATAAAAGAAAAGGAAAAGCAACAACAAAAAAAAAGATAAGAGGGAGTCGGCCAAAACAAAACATGAGAAGGGTGGGGAGTCCCATCTTTGGACCAAGAGAGAAGAGATGACAATGGGCAGCTGGTTGTCTAATTAATAGCCAAAGAAAAAAATAGGAAGGCACTTCCTACTTGGCTACTTGTCGGCAGTAGGGAAAAAAGAAGGAATTCAGCCGCAGAAACAATACACACCCCAGCTCTAGTTCGCAGGAGGCAAAAGGATGGAGCTGGAAAGAATTCATCCGACATCACTCAGCCGCAAGTAGCTCCGGGCAGAAAAAATCCGAGCTGCTAGGAAGAAGAACCGAGCTCAAAATACTCTGGTTAATCTTTTGTTATCTTTCAATTTTAATCCTAATTTCATGCTTAGATTCAAACTTCAATAAGCTTTCAGTTTTAATGACTGTATTATTTCATACTCTGAATTTCTGTTTACTTAGATAATTGAGTTGTTAATGATGTTTATTTACTGTTTAATTTCATCTACAAATTACTCTAGCTGTTTTATTAATAGTGTTAGTTTCATGATAATTATGTTAGGCTAAATTTCCATGGGGTTTAGATTTGGATAGAATTTAGGTTAATGAGTGTTCTTGAATATTGAATTGAATTTGAGAAAAGTCTCCCATTTTTAGGACTAGTTGTTTGAGATGAAATTGAAAGAGTAATTTGTGAAATTGATCACTTCACTTGTTAATTTTTAGAAGATTAATTATTTCTTGTCTATGAGTTTAGAATTTAATTTAGCTCATATCTCACACACTTTAAACTAAGCCTAGAAATAGCACATGTTAGGGGAATTAAAATCAAGTTCTTGTCTATGAGAATTAATATATCACTATTCTTAAATTGGAGAAAATTTCCCATATTTGTTCATAATTCAAATACACCCAAGATCCTTAATCCCAAATCTAGACCCCTCTTTTAATTAGTTAATTTTTCGTTACTAGTCACATTGAATTTACCTTTTAAGTGTTTTATTTTCGAAACTTTACTCATCCACATGTTTGCTAGTTTAATATTTTTTATTAGTTAATATTCTCTCTCAAGTTATTTTGCATGTTCACTAGTTTTAGTTTACTCATTAATGTCATTTAACAAAATTCCCCGCTACTACTTTTGTTGTTTAATTTTATTTACTTAATCATTATCACAATTAATCGTTCGAGAAAGCTTGCAACGATTCATACTAACCGGTGACCGATATTGAAACCAACACTTCCCTCCGCCACTCCTCAGAGACACGATACTCGGGGAAAAACCCAAAGGTTAGACTCCGTTTTACTACAACGCCGCGAAAGCGGGTTATCAAATGGAGTCTAACCTTTCTTAATTCTATTTTTCTGCCTAAAATCTGCTCCATCTTATTTCTATTTTTCTTTATATATTTTATTAATTAATTAATTATTTTTATTAATTAATAGTTCTTCGTTTTTCCGAAACACACCCAACAATCTTAAAACGTATTCGTTGATTGTTCTACTCCGGTAAACAATCCTAAAACGTATTTTCCTTGGTTGTTGTACTGCGGTAAACAATCTAAAAACGTAGTTTGTCACTTCGGTGAACGAACTTATTTTTTGTGTTTTCGGAAAACGTTGAAAACGTTAAAATGGCTTTGCAAGAAATTGGAAATGTTGGTGGGCAGAACGTGCCAAACGATAATCACTCTGAAAGTGGAGCACCGGTGAACAATGGTTCACAACGCGGTGCATCTACTTTGGGCAACCAAGGGGCAATCCCTATGCTTACCGTGCCGAGCAACTCTGTGGAGAAACCCGAAAAATTTAATGGGTTAAACTTCAAGAGGCGACATCAAAAGATGCTATTCTATCTTACTACTCTCGGTCTTGCAAGGTTCTTGACCGAAGATGCGCCGGTAGCAACCGGGGGTGAGGTGGATGCGCAATCTTTCAACGCGGTTGAAGCTTGGAAGCATTCTGACTTCCTTTGAAGAAACTATGTGTTGAACGGGCTGCATGATGCTTTGTACAACGTGTATAGCAAATTAGCTACGACTAAGGAGCTATGGAATGCTTTGGACCACAAATATAAAAGCGAGGATGCCGGCACAAAGAAATTTGTTGTTGGTCGATTCCTTGATTTTAAAATGGTGGATTCGAAGACGGTCTTGAGTCAAGTTGAGGAAATGCAAATGATCTTCAACGAAATTCGAGATGAAGGAATGACAGTTAGTGAGTCTTTCCAAGTGGCGTCAATTATCCATTTATAGCCGCCGGCTTGGAAGGATTTCAAGAACTACCTTAAGCACAAGCGAAAGGAAATGAACTTGGAGCAATTGATCCTCCGTCTACGGATTGAAGAGGATAACCGGAAGAATGATAAGAAACTCCCAATCGTTAACGGCGGCAAGGCCAACGTGGTGGAGCATGCAAAAGGCTCCAAAAATAAAAAATAATGGGAAGAGCAAGCTCGGTCCCAAGGGAGGCGTTTCCAAGACAAAGTTCAATGGAAAATGCTTCGATTGCAACAAGAACGGACACAAGTCCGCGGATTGCAAGGCATCAAAGAGGAAGAAAGATTCTCACGTGAACTTGGTGCAAGGTGGGCAAAAGGATGAAGACATCATCCTTGCGGCCGTGGTGACCGAGGTCAACCTCGTTGGATCCAATTCCAAGGAGTGGTTCGTGGACACCGGTGCAACCCGGCATATTTGCTCAAACCGGGAGTTATTCACTACTTTTGAGCCATCAAATGGTGAAAAGGTGTGGATGGGAAACTCAGCCCATTCCGCGGTTGAAGGCGTGGGCAAAGTGGTCCTGAAGATGACTTCGGGCAAGGAGCTGACTCTAAACCAAGTGCTGTTCGTTCCGGAGATACGCAAAAACCTGATTTCCGGCTCGTTGTTGAACAAGCATGGCTTCCGCATGGTCTTTGAGTCGGACAAACTGGTTTTGTCTAAGTCGGGAATGTATGTGGGCAAGGGGTATACATGTGATGAGCTGTTTAAGCTCAATGTAATGACTATTATTAATAATAATAAAATCCCTTCTGCTTACTTGCTTGAGTCTTCTAATGTGTGGCATGGTAGACTAGGACATGTTAATTTTAATTTTATACGTAGATTAATTAACATGGAGCACATTCCTAAATTCACAATTGATGTGAAGCACAAATGTGAAGTTTGTGTAGAGGCAAAACTAACGAAAACGTCTTTCAAATCGGTTGAAAGAAAAACGGAACCACTTGAATTAATTCATAGTGACGTTTGTGATTTTAAATCAATACAAACACGTGGCGGTAATAAATATTTTATTACTTTTATCGATGATAGCACTCGCTATAGCTACGTTTATTTATTAAAAAATAAACACGAAGCAATCGATAAATTCATTCTTTATAAGAATGAAGTGGAAAACCAACTTAATCGACGGATTAAAGCGGTTAGAAGTGATCGAGGTGGTGAGTATGAAGCAACAATTGGTGACTTTTGTGCGAGCGTGAGTATAGTAGATGAACGTACCGCATCCTATTCACCTCAATCAAACGGTGTTGCCGAACGAAAGAATCGCACATTGAAAGATATGATGAATGCGATGCTAGTAAGTTCGGGCCTGCCACAAAATATGTGGGGCGAAGCAGTCTTGTCAAGCAATTACCTTTTAAATAAGGTTCCCCGGAAAAAATATGATAAAACTCCCTACGAGTTGTGGAAAGGCAGACGGCCTTCCTATCAATATTTAAAAGTGTGGGGGTGTCTGACAAAAGTGCTTGTACCAACACCTAAGAAAATATAAATAGGTCCAAAAACGGTGGATTGTATTTTTATTGGATATGCACAAAATAGTAGTGCTTATCGGTTTTTAGTGTACGATTCGAATAATCCGGATGTACATAAAAACACAATTATTGAATCAAGGAATGCTTCATTCTTTGAAGACGTATTTCCATGCAAGTCCAACGAAGGACCAAGCACGTCAAAACGAACATTTGACGTAGCTATGGAAAATACTAGTGAGGGGTCCGGAGAAGAACCCGAACCCAGACGTAGCAAACGTGCTAGAGTTGAAAAATCCTTTGGACCGGATTTTCTCACATACTTGGTAGAATTTGACTCGGATATTCTAACATGTATGGTAGAAAATGAACCGGATTTTCTAACATGTTTGGTAGAAAATGAACCACAGACTTATATGGAAGCGCTTGACGTCTACCGAAGGTCCTATGTGGAAAGAAGCCATCAAAAGTGAGGTGGATTCTATCCTTAAAAATCACACATGGGAATTGGTTGATCTTCCTCCGGGAAATAAACCTTTGGGATCCAAGTGGATTTTTAAACATAAAATGAAACCTGACGGTTCCATCGATAAGTACAAGGCCAGACTTGTAATCAAAGGATACAAGCAACGTGAGGGCCATGATTACTTTGACACGTATTCTCCTGTGACGAGAATAAATTCCGTTAGGATGATACCAGCAATTGCCGCATTGCGGAAATTGGAAGTTCATCAAATGGACGTAAAAACCGCTTTTCTAAATGGCGATATAGACGAAGAAATCTATATGGAACAGCCCGAAGGCTTTCGTGTTCCAGGCCAAGAAAGGAAAGTGTGTAAATTAATTAAATCATTGTATGGATTGAAACAAGCCCCTAAGCAGTGGCACGAAAAGTTCGATCATGCAATGTTAATTAATGGGTTTAAAATAAACGAAAGTGACAAATGCGTCTATGTGAAGAGCACGGTAGACGGCTATGTCATTTTATGTTTATACGTGGATGATATACTCATCGTGGGTAGCAATAATCTAATAATTAATTCTACCAAAAGCATGTTAAATTCTAAATTTGACATGAAGGATATGGGGCTGGCCGATTTAATCCTTGGGATTAAAATAATTAGAGGACCTGACGGTCTTACGCTAAGCCAATCCCATTACGTTGATAAAATCCTTATGAAATTTAATAAGGATGATTATCAAGAGGAAAGGACTCCATTAGATAAAAACGTACAACTTACCAAAAATCGTGGAGAGTGTATTTCTCAAGTAGAATACGCTAGAATTATTGGAAGCTTGATGTATCTAATGAGTTGTACCAGGCCTGATATTGCCTTTGTGGTTAGTAAGCTAAGTAGATATACTAGCAACCCCGGTGATGAACACTGGAAGACAATAGTAAGGGTTTTGAGGTATTTACGTAAAACCCAAAACCTTGGACTGCACTATGGAAGATATCCAGCTGTACTTGTAGGGTATAGCGACGCTAGTTGGATATCCGACATAAAGGACTCCAAGTCCACAAGTGGATATGTTTTCACTTTGGGAGGTGCAACCGTGTCATGGAAATCCTCAAAACAAACGTTAATAGCTAGATCCACGATGGGGTCTGAACTAATAGCCTTGAATAAGTGCACTGAAGAGGCTGAATGGCTACGCCATTTTCTCGAGGATATTCCAAGTTGGGAAAAGCCTGTCCCTCCAATATGCATACATTGCGATTGTCAAACGGCAATTAGAAGGGTACAGAGCAATATGTACAATGGTAAGTCTAGACACGTTCGTCGTAGACATAACACCATTAAACAACTCCTCACAACGGGTGTTATCACTGTTGACTACGTGAAGTCAAAGGATAACATAGCGGATCCGCTAACCAAGGCATTGGATAGAGAATTGTTGGAGAAGTTGTCACGAGGAATGGGACTAAAGCCCGTGAATTGAAAAGTTCTATAGTGGATACCCAACCTAGTTGGTCCTAGGTTCAAAAGGGACAACTCAATTATAGAGCGAAGGATGGTCACTGTGGGGGTCCCGGACTCCTACCCACTCCTCGTTAAAACAGTGACTCCCGTACGAGGTTAGCAAAAACGTTTGCTTTAATGATTCTAAAATGTTGATCTACTCGATAACGTTGGAAGAGTATGCGGGATACTCGTGAAAGAATCACCTATGTGAGAGAGAAGAGGGCCGCTTCAAAGGAGAACTGTAAAGGCTCAGTTCTTTAGAAACTCTTGCAGAACCAGGACGGTGACCCATGGCCAAAACGGGCACACTCATGAGAATGGAAAAAAGTTGGAAGGTTCTTGTGTAAAGATAAGTCAATGTTTACACGACGACAGTATAGTTCAAGGACATCGAGTCTACTAGACAGCCAGTAAATAAACGTGTCTTTACAACGGAAGGTTCAAAGGATAAAACCTACCTCTCTGTATGCAAGGATCATCCGGTGAACACAACGTGTCCTCCTCTCTTCGTGTCTTTTTAAGTGTCGAAAATCAATTTTCATTCATGTGGGGGATTGTTGGAAAAATGTGTTAAAAATTGCATTAAATGGTCAAAACGGATTGTCCACTTCCGATTTGGGTCGGGTCAAAGTGGTTTCGGGTTGTCCCTGTTAAGGGCTACAATTCCATATAGGGTACGCTCAAAACGGATAACGGGTGAATGAGAAATTGATTCTCGAAGTTCACTCGTTGAAATGGAAAAATTGGGAAAATGATGGATTTCTAGTGTGTTTTATCCCACACCGGAAAACTCAAGGGATTTTCACCCCCTTATAAAGGGAAGACTCTTCTAAGGAGTTAAGATTCCTAAAGGTAAAGGCTCTCTCTTACGCGCGGGGGGGGGGGGGGGGGGGGGTGCCGATCAAATCCCGAAACGGAGAAGAAAAACCGCGACTCGTGTGCGCGGGCGACCTGCGGACACAAATGCCGTCCGAAATACCTATCATTCAAAGATACGGTCTCATAAAATTGAGGAGAATATGGTGGGATGGGCTGTGAAATTGCCTGAGGGACCGTCGATGGCCATGGAAGAGACGCCAGTAGATTGTGGAGAAGCTGGTACTGGTGGGGCGGCGTCCAGATTGAGGAAGAATATTCTGGCGCAGGTACCCAGTATTGTTGCTGCGGCGTCGGAGAGAAGACGGCGCCTGAAGTCTGCTGGGTCGACACCACCACAAAGGAGACTGTCGAAGGAGGTATGGTTGAGGCAATAACGGTGGTGATTTATGCGGTTGACGGTGGTTCCGACGGGAATGAAGCTGCCGTCATGACAGAGGAAACGGCGGAGGGAGGGGTGGACATGGTGGGATGCGGCGAACCAGAGGGAGAGAGGGCAACCGTAAAATTTTTTTTAGCCCTAGGCTCTTCATACCATGTGAGAATATTTGGGAAAAGGTACTCCAATAGGAGTCATGGACTGAATATATATAATAAAAGAGTTCGAAACTTATTAGGAAACAAATATGCCTAATAATATTCTATTAATGGTGTCACTGAGTGTTCTCTTTTTAAGTTGGTTCAACTTAGAGTATCCCCATTCATGCTTAATGAAATATACATTTTTTATGATATACAATTGTCATATCACTGCCACATAAAAACTCTCAAATAATATCAGATCTTATCAACCATGAATCTTTTGGAAGAATTTGAATTTGGCTTAAATTGAAATCTCAACATTCAGATCATGGGTAATCCGACAAATAGAATCCTGACAACCATTCTCCCGCGAACCAGACTCAGAGTTAATCACCTCATCCAAAGCAATATAACTCGCTGATCCATTAATGGGCACAAATGAGCCAAAACGGTTACCCTAATTACACTGTTACCCACATCCAAACTCAATGTCTTACAAACAGGAATCATAATAGAAAACCAAAATAAAAAACAAACAGAACAGTCTGAAAAGTAATAGAAGCTAAAATAAAAAATAATAGTCTGCCTCCCAATGTGCTTGCTCTGCACCCTTATCAAGATTCCTGGCCTTTGGTTCTTAGTCTTCATAGGCGGGCCTACTGCTCAAAGCCCGCCTCCTCCCCGTTTTTTGTCCCATCCAGTGCCATATTTTCCTTCCCTTGCAGATCATCTCTCTGTGTCTCCCATAACCTCCTGCGCTTTTGTTCTGCTGTGCCTTCTTCCTTATGCTCGCCTCCTACACCTTTTGTTGTACTCTATTCTGACTCAGCCCCTTATTCTTTTCTCCCGACCCTCACCCTATCCTCGGTTTTAGCCCCTTCCCCGTACCTCTGGTCCCCGCCAGAGCTCGATGAACCCTCCAGCAACCATTGGTTTCCCCCTATAGGACTCGTCTTCCCTCCAATACCTGCTCTAAGATGAACTCCAAACTTTTTCTCCAAAACAAGATCTTCTTCATAGTGCAAGTGGCAAAATTTGTCTGAGTGTCCAATTAACCTACAAATAAAACAGAAGTTTGGCAATCTCTCATATTTAAAATCAACCCAGTAACTTTTGCCATCCTTCTTCAGATTATTACCTCTTTTCAGAACCTTTTCCACATTCATACACACTCGTATTCTCATATAGGCCTCCCACTTTTCACTATTCTGATTATCATCGTATTTTATAAACTTTCCTATAAAATTTCCAACTTTCCTGGTCGTACCTAAATTGACCAAACTATAAGGCACATTATGAACCTGGACCCAGAAATCAGCCTCATTCAGGACAATTTTGTGAGGAATATCATCAGGTTTAACCTCTTTTAATAACAATAACTTTTTTTCAAATTGCCATGGTCCTCCATCTAAAACACGATTCATATCTAATCGGTGATAAAAAGTAAACAGATACCTTTTCTCCCTAACTTCTTTGACTGATAGGCCTTTACCTGGTCTCCATAGCGATGCTACCATCTCTTTTATCACCGGAAATCGGACCTTTCGGTCTGTCAGCAGCACCCCGACCACAGGGAAGCTCGGCCTGTTCTCCTCCTTCGCCCCCTCGCTCGCCTCCGTATCGTCGAGATCCAGCTCTTCCTCCTCCTCCTCCTCCAAAGCCGTCTGTCTGTACTTGTCCACCACGCTTTCTATACAGTCGCCCCTGCTCCCTCCTATACTCGGTAAACACGATCACTTGAACCCCTCCCAAAACAAAACCAAAGTTTGCCCTTCCAAATCGTCCGAAGCCAACTCTCCGAATGAATCAAAATCCAATGGGTACGCACTGACGCTTCGAGAACAAAGCTCGGAAACAGAAACCTCGCTTCGCACGGACTCCTGGCATTGGTCTGGTTGAAGCCGACGGCGGAAAATCCTAGGCATTACGAGTGGGTAACTCTAGAGAGAGTTATGGAGATGTACCCTGCGGATAGTGTTGGAAAAATGTGTTAAAAATTGCATTAAATGGTCATTTTGGGGCAATTATTTGAGTGAGGTCCACTTCCAATTTAGGTCGGGTCAAAGTGATTTCGGATTGTCCCTGTTAAGGGCTACAATTCGATATATGGTACGCTCAAAACGGATAACGGATGAATGAGAAATTGATTCTCGAAGTTCACTCGTTGAAATGGAAAAACTTGGAAAATGATGGGTTTCTAGTGTGTTTTATCCCACACCGGAAAACTCAAGGGATTTTCACCCCCTTATAAAGGGAAGCCTCTTCTAAGGAGTTAAGATTCCTAAAGGTAAAGGCTCTCTCTTACGGGTGGGGGCCCGATCAAATCCCAAAACGGAGAAGAAAAACCGCGACTCGTGTGCGCGGGCGACCTGCGGACACGAATGCCATCCGAAATACCTATCATTCAAAGATACAGTCTAATTTTTGGTTCTTCCCGTAACATTTTATTTTTTCCAGAACTGCTCCGCTTTCTGTTGCCTTCCTGACCAGAGAACCTAAGAGGGTTTGTGTTGGACACCAGAGAACCTAAGAAGGTTTCTGTTGGACACCAGAGAACCTAAGAGAGTTTCTGTTGGACACCAGAGAACCTAAGAGGGTTTCTGTTGGATCAGAAGACCTGAGAGTTGAAAAAGAAAGTGACCAACAAGGCACACGTTGAGGTTTCAATTTGTCAAGCGTATCTTCAACAAGAAATCTCAACGTTCTCATCTTTTTATTTTGAGCGTGAAGTCATCACTAGAAGAAAGAGACCTGCCCGAAACGATGACATTGGCGAGGATTTATATGAAAATGTAGTTTCCATTTTCAATTACCCAGGTAGAGGTAAAGGAGCTTGGACAAACCGATACATCGTGGGAAAAGAATTACAAATTGCGCATACTTATATGCTCATTAATTGTCGAGAAATCTTACTGTTTTATCAGTAAGTTAAATTTGTAGTTATCTTTGTAATATATATACAATTAAGGTAGTTGATTTATAATATTTTTATATTTGACTTCACAGTGAATTTAGAGCGGAGCATTCAGCATTCTCTGACAATCAAATTGATGCATTGGTGGACTCTCATTTTATACCGTGGTACAAGTATCAGGTATATATCCATACACACATTAATTATATATATTATTAAGTAATAATTTTTAATAATTACCCAATGTTATCGTGTTTTAATTTACAGATCAATAACCGTGAGATTGTGGACCCTTTGTTAGTATCATTATCGTGGGGCCCTGGTGCCTACGCCAAAGTTTGGCGGTCATATGTGATAAACGGTTACACCTATCACACAGTCAGTTACGGACAGGGCCGACCAACAGTGAACTGCGGGTTATGTGTCCCAACCATCGGTTATGATAACTCGGAAACCAATTTTTTTGGTGTCTTGCACGAGATTCTCGAACTGGAAATGCCTTCTGCTGGGAAAAAGTTGACATGCGTTTTGTTCCGCTGCAAATGGATCGATCCAACACGTGGTGTGTGAAAAAATTCAAAGTATAATATGATTGACGTCAACCACTCTCGCGTGTATACGAAAAATGAGCCTTTTATACTTGCTCAACAAGCAGCCCAGATTTATTATGCAGAATACCCTTCAACTAGGCGGACACAGAATCCTTGGGTGTGTGCATGTACTGTCCGTCCGAGCAAAATTGTATCACAAACTCAACACAAGGACGTTGATTTAGATGCTTTTCAGCAACATTTTTTCCAACCTCCGCCGATTGTTGAGACTGTCAACCAGCACATTCAGCTAAGTGATCCAAATGGGGGAAGTGTTGAAGTCATGCCAGAAATGCACCTTCCGGACCTAACAACTCCATCTGAGCGCGAAATTGTTGAAATGCATGAAGAACAACAAAATGCTCAATATCAGGAAGAAGGAGAATGGATAGACGGTTCTCATACAGAAGAAGATGTTGTATATGTATAAAATAATGATTGTGATAGTGACTAATTGTATTGTTGTATTACAATTTTTTTGAGTTCGAATATTTGTGCTCTTTTCTTCATTATTATTGTAGTCCAACAATATTTGATTTTTTTCTTCATCATTATTAAAAGATAAGTACGAAACGCACAATTTTTTTATCACAATCAACTAACGAAACATTAATCATTTATCATAATAAGCAAACAAACAAATACAAAATTATTCATAAATATCAAAACTTTCAAGAGGCCTAGCCAACAACTCGTTAATTTTCCTTTCAGCTTCTTCATTGATCGGATCCATATACTCCGAACATTCTTCTGCACGTTGAAGCATCCGACACAAGTTGTTTGCTTTTGACTAAATTTAGTCACGGACCTATCCGTGACTATTTCCGTGACAAGTGCAAAATTAATTTTTACAACGTTCCAAATTTAAAGTTCACCGACAAATCGTACAAAAAATATGTAGTCACGGACACATCCGTGACTACGTCCGTGACTAAAAGTTTTATATATGCAGCATCCGCTTCATTCAACAAAATCACACCATCTACTCCAGATAGAATTACAGATAGAATTGAAGGATGTAGTCTACACATCTCCTATCATTTTTCCTGTTTATACAGATAAAGTATGTAATTTGAATTACGTATTTTTTGTATGAATTAGTTGGTTCATTTTAGCTACATTAGTTAAATTAATTAATTAGCTACATTAGTTAATTAAACTTTTGTTAATATTATTAGTTAAATGTAAATTAAATGCATTTAAATGCATTAAGTAATTAAATAAAATACTTAATTAATTAACGAAATAAATTCCTTAAATTTAGTTACGTTAAACGTAGGTGTAATTTAAACACATGGTTAATTAAGTTGTATTTAATTAAAATTACGTAAATTAGTTAAATACATGTAGATGATATTATTAATAGGGAAAAGTACGGATTAGATACCTGTGGTTGTGGGCGTTTTCACTTAGGGGTCTGTGATGATCTTTGTAACAAACGCAGCCTCGTGTTTTGCTACTGTTACCACCCGTGGGGTCTATTGGACCTGGCCGTTAGTTAAATGCGACGTGGCATATATTTTTTTCCAAATAGGCTCCAGCGTGGCCAATGGCATAAAGCTCTTCCGAACCGGAACCAAACGCGGCTTTATCCTCCTCATGGACAAAAGCATCTCCCCATCCAAACGCAACGCTCTCATCAAATCCGGGTGGAAGCTCCGATTCATCAAGAGGATCCGAAATCCCAGATCCGAGAAGGGCACCTACAACGAATACAACTACAGCAAGTTCCGGCTATGGCAACATCGATTTCCTCTTTGGATTTCCTCAGATGTCCGCCTCCGGGAACGACGTATCTATATTTAACTCCGGTGTGATGGTGATAGAGCCCTCCGACTGCACGTTCCAAATGCTGATGCAGCGCCAGGAGGAGATCGTCTCCTACAACGGCGGCGACCAGGGCTTCCTCAACGAGGTGTTCGTCTGGTGGCATAGGTTGCCGAGGAGGGTGAATTTCCTGAAGAACTTCTGGTCAAATTCCTCCGCCGAGTCCGGATTGAAGAACGAGCTATTCGGGTCGGATCCTCCCGAGCTTTATGCCATACACTATTTGGCCATGCTGGAGCCTATTTGGAAAAATATATATGCCACGTCGCATTTAACTAACGGCCAGGTCCAATAGACCCCACGGGTGGTAACGGTAACAAAACACGAGGCTGCGTTTGTTACAAAGATCATCACAGACCCTAAGTGAAAACGCCCACAACCACAGGTATCTAATCCGTACTTTTCCCTTATTAATATTAGTTAAATGTAAGTATTATTTAATTCAAATGACTTTATATATGATTAAATATAAGTATATGATTTCTTTATTAGCAATTATTGTTAAGGCGGCCTAATTTAGGATTAATAATGATTTAAATTAGGATTAATTAATTGAAACATTACTTAATTAAGTATGATGATTTATGATTGTGAATTACGTAAATTAGTAAAAAAACTTATAATATTAGTTAAATTTAAGTATTATTTAATTTAAATGAGTTTATTATATATATATATATATATATGCTCAAATTATTGGATTTGCTCATATTATTTAATTTAGTAAATTGTTAAATGTGCATTATTAATAAGATTAAGATGTTGATAATTTTAGTATTGTGGATTAAATGCCATTAACGTATTGTGCATGTTTATAGTTTAATAATATTAATTATTGGACGTTAGTTAATTTTAAGAGAATTTTAGTGAATTTTAGTGAAATTTAAGGGAATTAGTTAATTTTAGTATTGTGGATTAAATGCCATTAACGTATTGTGCATGTTTATAGTTTAATAATATTAATTATTGGACGTTAGTTAATTTTAAGGGAATTTTAGTGAATTTTAGTGAAATTTAAGGAAATTAGTTAATTTTAAGGGAATTAGTTAATTTTAAGGGAATTTTAGGGAATTAGTTATTTTAAGGGAATTTTAGTGAAATTTAGTGAAATTTAAGGAAATTAGTTAATTTTAAGGGAATTTTAGTGAAATGATTGCATTGAAATTTAATATATTAATAATACTCCACATATGTTGGTAATGTTTATAATTTAGAGTTTTTAACATGTATAATTTTTTCATTATAATATTCAGGCATAATGTATAGACAAAATAGAATTTGGATGTATGATAAACATGCGGTATTGTACGGAATGCAATCAAATTTTCTTGAAGGAGTTAAGGAGTTTATTAAATTCGCACTTGAACACCCGGCTTATATGAGTGGTGATAAAATTAGATGTCCATGTTCAAAGTGTAAAAATCTCAAATTTAAACACCCAGACGAAGTTGGGTGGGATTTGTACGCGGAAGGTTTCCTTCCCAATTATTATAATTGGACTTCTCATGGCGAACCTTTGGATCCATCTATTTTACCACAAACGGTTGGTTCGTCTCGTAACGTCCCTGCAGAGATGAGTGCGTGGGGAGACCCTGCTGAAATGAGATGGGAGCAACGTATGGTATATGACGCATACGGTGCATCGATGTCTCAGTTCAACCCCCCAGAACCATCTAACGATCCTCCTGAAGCCTCGACCTCGTATCAACCACATGAGGATGAAAATCCGATATTTTATGAACCTTATGTGGATGAAGGTTTAGCTGAAAGATTTCAAGATGTTTTAAAAGCAGCCGATCAACCCCTGTATGCTGATTGTGAGGGATACTCTCAGCTATCCGCCGTTACAGAGTTTATGAACATAAAAGCTGAATACAGTCTCCCTGAAACTTGCATGACTAGAGTCTTGCAGTCAGTAGGCGGGATGCTACCACGTGATCATAACCTTCCCGATTCATATTATCACATGAAACAATTAATGTCTAAGTTGGGGCTACCTTATATAGAAATTGATGCGTGCCCGGAAGGATGTATGTTGTTCTGGAAGGATGATGAGGCACTTGAATTCTGCAAGTTCTGTGGTGGAAACAGATACAAACCCGTTCCTCAAAGTAGAAAGAAACCACGAAATAGGTCGGCATTATCTAAACTGTATTACCTCCCAATAGCTCCACGACTTCAGAGGATGTACGCTTCGATTGCTACTGCGAAACACATGACATGGCATGTTGAGCACGAAACAAAAGAGGGTATGATGTCTCACCCTTCGGACTGTGAAGCTTGGAGACACTTTGACCGTTGTCATCCTCAGTTTGCAATGGAGCCACGAAATGTGTGACTGGGATTGTGTTCAGACGGATTTGCTCCATTTGGAAGGTTTGGGAAGAACTATTCATGTTGGCCGGTCATGTTAACTCCTTACAATCTCCCTCCCGACATGTGCATGAAAAGTCGCTTTATCTTTTTGACTCTAATATATCCGGGTCCCAATGATCCAGGAAAAAAGATAGACATTTATCTCCAACCCCTTATCAAGGAGATGAAAGAATTTTGGGCCATTGGGACACCAACATATGATGTTTCAAGGGATCAAAATTTTATAATGAAAGCTGCCATCATTTGGACCATTAGCGACTTCCCTGCCTATGGCATGCTTTCGGGGTGGAGCACACATGGTCTTATGGGATGCCCGATATGCATGGAGAAAACAGGTGCCAACTGGCTAACTTTCAGTAAAAAACCAAGCTACTTTGATTGTCACCGCAAGTTTCTCCCGGAAAACCACCGATATCGAAAGGACAAAAAGTCTTTCATTAGAGGTAGAGTGGTACGAGACACCCCGCCCCCGAGATTGACCGGGGAAGCAATTTTTAACCGGGTTCGACGTATTCCTACGGTTATGCAAGAACCAAATAAGAAGCCATATGGGTTTTGTGATACCCATGAGTGGACAAAGAGGAGTATCTTTTGGGAGTTACCATATTGGAAAAACCTTCTCATCCGTCACAATATAGATGTCATGCACATTGAGAAGAACGTGTTTAACAATATATTTAACACAGTGATGGATTTCAAAGGCAAAACTAAAGACGGTCTTGTATCTCGAAAAGATATGACTATTTGGTGTGATAGGCCCGAACTGTCTGTTGATCTAGAATATCAGGGTAACAATATTCCAAAAGCAGTCTACCAAGTCACACAAGCACAAAAGGAATCAATATTACAATGACTTGTGTCTTTGAAGTTTCCAGATGGCTACTGCTCCAACTTGTCCAGATGCGTGGACATGGACAAACTTGCAACGACGTCGAGCATGAAAACTCACGATTGTCATGTAATCATGCAAAAACTTCTCCCAATTGCACTGAAAGAGATGCTTCCTGAACATGTATGGTCCTGCATTACTGAGATCAGTTTGTTGTTTCAGTCGATATGCTCAAGCGTTTTGGATGCATCATCCCTCCGTAGACTAGAAGAGTCTGTTCCCATGCTGATGTGTAATTTGGAAAAGATAATGCCTCCATCATTTTTCGATGGGATGGAACATCTTGTAATACATCTTCCGTATGAGGTTTTAAATGGTGGACCCGTCTTCTATCGTTGGATGTACAGATTTGAAAGGTTAGTCACAATTTCATTTATCTTTGAATATTTATTTCATAACAACATTAATCTGTGTACCACTTTTGTTAGTCCATGTTTCTGTAACAGCAAT